ACACACACACACACAAACTTTCTGTCCAATATGGTGAAGAGCATATTGCGATATCTAAATCTGTAACAAAGAGAGACAGTCAAATCTTGGTTCATTGCAGAGCCTTTGGTCTCAGAGTCCTCTCATCACTTCTGGTTCTTCCTCTCTGTCTTTTTTCCCCTCTGCTCCTGCTCTCATGTCTCATCCCTCCTCATCCTTGTTTCACATCAGTCTGTCACACCTGCATGTCGGGCTTACTCAGATCCCCATTCCCCTGGTTCCCTCCACCACCACCACCACATCCTCCGCTCATCCCTCCCCTATCGTCCTCATCGTCGCTGTCCAGCTCCTCGCTCTTCCTTTTGCTGTAGCGCTCGTACAGCACCATGAGCACCCCCATCACCCAGGCCGACACCGTGCCAGCTGAGAAGATGACGAAGCCGATGGCGATGAAGAAGAGGTAGTCCCAGTAGCCCAGGCCTTGGTGGCAGTCTGCCCGCAGCTGCATGCCGACCTCCGCCAACCGCTGGCCCGCCAGCTCTGGGGGATTGTGGCAAACTGTCTGGCCCTCGTCTGGAGGTGAAGGAGAGGAAGAGTAAGGAAGGAGGGAAGGAAGGGAAAGAAGTAAAGAGAGGCGAGATTAATGAGGAAAGATATCATATAAAAGAAGAACAGAATTTCAGGAGAGAGAAGGGGGACAAATGTAATTAATGTAGAGAAAAAGGTGTATAACAAACAAAAGCCAGGACACACATAAACAGCCGTTAACAATGCAGTGATAACCTTCATGATAAATGATCCCGAGAGACACCATAGTACTAGACACTACTCCTCTGAGTAATGCAGGTCTTTGGTGTCTAGGACGTGGCAACATTATTATGCTGCACACACACACACACACACACACACACGCACACACAGAAAGGTGACTAAACTTGACTGCAAGCCTCTGACACATCAACCCTCCCACCCCCTCATGCACATCATTATACACTAACGAATCACTCCGCAGCAGCAGAGAGATAAGGACATGTTTTTCCTGACAGAACATCTGCCATTCATAATGAGGAATATGATAATCGGGATGACTTCAGACCACACAAGGAGGCAGAAACGCTGGCGCAGCGAGCGTTTTCACAACTGTAAAATGTTTATTTATGGCGTTTTATGCTTCGCCACAAAGAGGTCAAAGGTCAGATTTTGGCGTTTTGGCTCAAGAACACTTCAACAGTGCTTTTCATGCTCTGCTGCATGTTTTCATTCTGCTACAGTGACTTTGCAGCATCAGCATATACAGTACCCTCACGTATATTAATTAGTATGAATGCAGTGTTTAAAAGAGAAGAGAGGCTCGTTCTGTATGTATCTAATGGTGTGATCAGTAAGAAGAGCAGGATACAGTGTACGCTTTTCACTATCAGTTCATCTCTTGTTACAAGCGCTGCTAATTCCCATGCTCCTTCGCTCCCACCCTCCCTGCATGCTTAATTGCACTTGTCCTCCTCAAAAAGAGACGTGTTTTTTTCAAGCTGGGAACAATGAGAGAGATGAGAGAGCCGAGAGAGACGAGATTGGAATAAGAGAGAGAGAGAGAGAAAGAGAAGGAAGGGAGAAAGACAAACAAATGCACAGACAGGAGGAACAATTTAGAAATATCTGCATCCACTCGAACTTAAGGGAAGGGACAGATGCAGTGAGTCTGACCTCAGAAGATGAGAGAGGAGGCGAAGGAGAGAACTGTATCTGGCTGCAGTCCTGTGTCCTGATGGATTATTGCTGTTAACAATGTTAATTAAACTGCACTCATCTACCAATAAAGCCAAAGGTCTGAACATGAGATGAGCGATGGGGGAAGGATGGCAAGAATTGCCGGATATAATCTATATATTATAATACTTCTCCTTGAATACTTGCCAGGGCTTCACGAGCGCAGCAGCAGTTTGAGGGTAAAAGCTGCAGCTAGAAGTTGTGAAATGATGACTTAAGAAACCAAGGACCGGGGTGGCAGCTATCAAATGCAGTCAAATTTAACACATTAATTTAGATGAATTTTTAAAATAACAACAAATAACAAAATATCTAAAGTCTAATTTCTATTCAAGGCTTTATTAATTTTCCTCTTTTGTTGCTTTGCCACCCTCTTGCCACCTCATGAATATTTCTCTAGATCCGGCCCTGCCAAAGTCTCAGTATCTGTACATACGCTACACAGAAACAATTTGACTTAAATCCTTCCTTACAAATTCTTAAGTGCTTTATTCTCCTGAATAACCAATGCAACTATAACCGCAAAACATATTAGTCTGGTGATTATAATGTATGTCTGGAAGAGTTAAAAATACTGATTCAACTAAACCTGCTGTTTTGTAAAGGTTTGTTACAAGCCTGCTGAGGAAAACATATCTGCAGGGATGTGATAAGGTTCTCGATCAATACTTAACGATCGCCTCACCGGGGGGGGGGCTTTGTCTCAGGCTTGAGGAGACATGTCGTGCTGATGCTGTTGTCATGTCTGCTGACTCTCCTGGTAATGGGTTGAGACTGTGTTGTGACATGATGGTGTGCGTACGAATGTCCTGAGAAGTTACAACAGGTCAGGGTTACACACACTGTGGACAGGATTGCAGCGAGTGCATCGGAGAGCTGTTTTTAGTGTATGTGTCTGTTTGTCAGGCAGAAATAGCAGGTGAGGCAAGAAGGTATTAGGTTATTGAGTCAGCAGGAAACCTTGTGCAAGTTGTTATGGTGATCAGTGATTAGTGATGTGCTAAGATTATTGTACAGTTATTCAACAGCAGCGAACCAAGGATGAACAAGGAGACACGTGCAACACAGTCAGCAGACACACAATCTTACCCCAGTTATAACTGGCCCTCAGTAGGAAGAAGGACATGCACAGTCTTCCTCAAACTGTCATTTTATATTCTCCCTCTTCTTGTCTGCACTCACTTTCTCTCTCTGTCTTTCAGCACAAGAGGAGGGACAAAAAAATTATTCCATCTGAGGCCGATTGCGTGTAGGAGTGCAGAACTAAATTGCAATATTATACATAGGTAACACTGTCCAGCTTTAAAAATGGTACTCATGGATGATAATAACTGTTAGAAGTGCACATACTTTCCTCCATTTCATGTGGAAATGCTCTTTTGTTTCTTCTTTTTGAAATGAGTAATCAAAAGCGTTGGAGAGTGGTTGCATGAATCACTCCCCAGCTGTGTTTATTAGCAGACGAGTATATCCAAATACTAATTTGGACTTCCATTAGCAGGTTTTATGGGCGCTTCAAAGATTGTTCTCCGGACACCACTGGAAGGAAAAGCCTGATTTTGCTGAACAGTTCAAATAAATGATGATATTTCCTCTTTTGAGTCTATGATTACAAGAGTTTGGGATATTTTTTAAAATTATTTAAGGAAGGATTTTTATTGTGAAAATGTGCCGTCCCAGTTTTGTTCTGTTTATGTTGTTTTATTTAATTGCACTTAATTATACTACTTTTGTTTTTTTTGTGTGTGGTTTTTTTAGATCTCTTATTTTAAATTTATAAGCTACTGTTACGTGCTCAGATTTGTTCCTTTTTCAACTAATTCTTGTACGTCTTGTGTTGCTTTATTTGTCTTTGCGTGTTAATAAATTTAAAATAACTTGAATTACAGTGAACTTCCTTACACCTCCCTCTATTCTTGCATTCTTCTAAGTCTTGCAGCTCTCTATATTAATTTTTCTATGGTTATTTCCCTCTCTGTGAGGCCCATCAGCTCACATGGCCGTCCCTTAGCCACTCTCTGTCACCATCTGTGGGCTGGCTAGCTGATCTGCTCAGTCTCATTACAGTGCCAAGCTTGCCTCAAGCCAGGTGTGAGGATCTTTTCTTGTGTATGTGTGTGTGCAGTGAGGTTGCTGTCTGTTACCTCGTGCAATACAACATTCATGGCTGCCTTCTGTAACAGTGAGGTACGATCAGTGACTGTACAAACACTCACAGCAGCAAACAGGTCCCTCAGGGTATTTGAGCCTCATCTGTCCTTCCTCTGTAACTGTTTCCTGCACCTTGCAACAGTTCAGACTTTGTACATAGTTCTTGGCTGCGTGTTGTTGCTGTCTGGTCTCCACTCAAAGAAAAGTGTGATGAAAGCCAAGACAAATCTCTAAAACAACATTTAACCAGAATTTGGCTGGTGGAGCTGAAGTTATAAAAGTATTTTAAGCCCAGGTAAAAAAAAAACAACAACAAAAAAACAAAACCTTGTCTCTCATCCAATTGTAATTAATCTTCTTGACTCATCTTACGTTATCCTTGAGGCAATTTCTCTGAAACCCATTTTGAGCCTTCACCCACAGCTTGGGATGATCTTATTTATTAGTAATAAGGCCAATAAAGCCATATTATTATGATTAGTATATATCAGTGTATCAAGCCTGAATCTTGTGTCAATCATCAGCTCTCACTTTGCTTTTATCGCAGTGCCATTTTGCAGCATTTCATCCACATGTCCAATGTGGTTAAAATCTGCATTTAAAAGTGCATTTGAGCTTTTACATGACAATAGAGGAAGCCATTGCTGTAAAGTGAATCTGTGATGCTGATTATATTTTCATGAGCAAGATTATGTTACTTTAGCTTAACAACGGCCACTGTGGCTTGAGACAGTTCTTGACAATTATGAGATAATAGGCTAAAAATAAGCTTAAATTCTAAGCTATTAGACAAAGTAAGGCTGCAGTAGTGCAGTAACAGGTGAGTTTTACAGCTTATGAATTCAACATATTATAGAAGAGAAAGATTATGTTCTGTTATTTTAAAAGTTACCAACTCTCTTTTTAATGCAGAGCCACAAACCTACTGTATCATAAGTGGACTGATTGACTTTATATGTGCAAACATTAATGTCAGATCCAAACTTTTGGCAGGTAATGTATAAGAATACAGCTATAAGGTTTCTTTGTACACCAAACCCAACAGAGGAGAAGGCCTCTGAATTTCACTTTGCAAATATAATTTTCCTTAACCATCAGACATTTGTGGCTGCACTTTAGAGAAAATTCATGGCAGCCTCCTATATAGAAAATAATATGAGCATTACTGGAGAACACAGGAGAAGGTGGCAGCCGAGATGATTCACTCTCTGTTCAGTCTCACTTCACCGTCTGTTTCTTCATCACTGCGTTTTCTCACTCTTCCCATCACTTAGGCGGGGAAACCTCTCAGACACCATTTTGGCAGAATACCCTTGACATTTTCAGTGTTTATCCCTGTTTTTGCACCAGTCCGATTTTTTTCATTGAAGGCTGTCTTCAATAGCTTTTTATTGAAGGATGATAATACTCCTGTATTAAAAGTCTGGTTTTTAAGGAATTCAAATTTCCTGCAGTTAATAACCTTGTCTAAATTAAAGGTACTGGTGTAACTGACCAAGTCCAATTTCAGCTAACAGGATGGGGAAAATCCTCCTTAATAAAGTATGTTTTTGTGTGACTGCTTATGAAGCATTTAAAGAAATTATTTGATTTAAACAATGTCATTTTGAAAATCTAGTCCAAACTTTTTAATTGAGTTTGGACAGTGTCTAGTG